ATTTTCAACAGCCTTTCAAGATTGATTACGAATTTTAAATAATCCAAAGTAAATTTTAAAAGAATTTTAAAGGATTTTAGGATATATCAGAGAAGAATACCAAAGTACAGACTACGAAAGTCTCATGTAAAATTAAGTGTTCTGAGGACTGATTTCTTCATCTCCGCTTAAATCTCAAGCCAGGTTTACTTATATATTTAAAATTGGCTTAACACATACGAGCGTCGCTTTTGATTATTGTTTAAATTATTAGAGACGCAAAATTCAGCTCTGAAACAATTTTTGAAATAATTCCAATATAATGGAGAGTGCATTCTAACGAGAGTTCTGAGTAGAATTCTATAATGATTGGATGAGGATTCTAGGTCCAATTCTAATAAGAATTCGAAATTAGTTCTGAAATTTTGTTTCAAAATCCCGAATGATTCCATGAAAATCCTGTGAACTCCAAAGATGGTTTCTGCGGATAGTTCTAAAAGAATTCTGGGGTGATTTCTTAAGATACTTCCATGAGAATTCTGAAGAGTTTAGAATAAATTCCTAGAAGAATTCCAATAGAATCGTATTTTGAGGGTTCAATCTCATAGGAATTCTGAGAAGATTTTCAAAGTTATTCTGCTATAGATTTTCAAAGTTATTCTGCTATAGATTTTTGACTTGAGAATTCTGAGGAAATACAATGGGAATTCTAAGGAGAATACGAATTGAATTTCCAATTGAATACAGGGGGAATTCCAAGATTATTCTAAGCAGAAATTTATGAAATTACTGAGGTTAATTGCATCGAAAATCAAAAAGAGTCTACTTTAACTAATCATGCGTTAATTTAATGATTTACATAGTCGGAGATGATTAACGTAAAATGTCTTAATGTGTGACTGAAAGTGGTGATTTTATACTATAGATGAGGATATTAAATTATAGAGTTGATAGTTCCGTTATAGTACGGCAGTGATAAAATTGTGTAAACAAAGAAGAAAGCGATCAAAGGACAATTTTGAGGAAGGTACGAATCAGGTAGTTGTTTACGTCAGATGGGACTTGAGTGTGAAACAATCAATAGAACATTGGAGGTACATAAAAAAAAACTCGGCGATCATCCCTTTTGCCGGTGACAGGGGGAAACACCCCTCATCATCCCTCATTAACGGATGAGTTTAATAAAGGAAATACGATTCGTACTTTCTTCAAAATTGGCCATTGTTCGCTTGCTACTTTCTGTATACAAATTTCATACTATAACGGAACTATCAACTCTTTGCTTTCACGTCCTCATCTATCGTATAAAATGTCCACTTTAATCCTGATATTTGATGTTAAGCATTTCCAACTACGAGAATAATCTATTTCCAAGAATTTTGTTGATTGTTCTGCAAAGAATTTCAAAAATGTAATAATTTTTGTAAAAGCTTATTTGCCTCAAAGTTTAAGTGAAGGGGAATTATTCTTAAAAAGTTCTTGAGATCATTCTGAAGAAATTCTGTGAAAATTTCATAGCAAATTATCAAAGTTATCTACCTAGATATATCAAATGTTTAGAGATTTCGAACGCAGAATCAAATTCAAGATCATAAAAAATGGGAATTACTATTTGCTAGTCATCATGTATAACGAAAGCAAAAGTAAATTATTCAAATCACTTCAAATGCTCTTCACAGGAGATTCCGTTGTGAGATTCTATTAAATTAGAGGAATTTATGAAATTTGATTTTAAGTTCCATGACATAACAAGTTTATTTCAATATCAAACCGTAATTGAATTTCTAAGTTACCATATAAATGGTTACTAATTTAGCATTTTCAAGTCACTATTTGGTCACTATTTCTGTAATTTAAGTCACTAAAGTCACTACTATTATATCGCATCAGCACTACCAGCCTGTGGTGGTCAATCGTTCAAGTATCTTGATTTTTTGTCCGCCCACCAGCATTTTCCATACTGCCATCAAAATGCAGCTGTGAGATGAGTTTTTGAGTCGGGTAAACTGTGTTCTGAAGCCTTCCTTAAACGTAAAGTACATGTTCCGGGCAGTAAACACATTTAACATTCCCCTGTTGACTTTCAGGTTTGAAGTAGTTAAATGGAGTACAATTGACCTAGAAGACCTTGAGAGGAGGATGCACAGCGCGTTCCGAGAAGACCGAATGCATCATTTTCAATCGGCAAGGGAGAGATTAACCATACCATGGGAATAAGAGGGAATTGAATTGATCGAAATCCATGTGTAGTGTGTTAACCAGGTGCGACAACTGAGATAGTACTTTTTCACGCAAGAGAACTACAGCCTCAACTGCAATTTGACAGTGGAGAGGAAAAGATTGCAGTATGGAAGCAGAACGTAGAACAAATGAACAAGACATGTGACTGACAAAAAGTCATCCAGTATAGGATTATGCCAATGAGGATAAACCGGAGGTATGATTGGCACCAAAACCGCACCGTATCTTTCCATCCATCACAACCACCCAGACGTTATGTTTTACGATAAAGGTGCCATGCAAATTGTTGTCATCGCCGTTCCACTCATCCGTAACCCGGAGGAAAAAAAACACGGTCTCAAAATCGTCAAGTACCGGCTATTGGGCGTGGAAATGATGGAATTGTGAGAATTAGTGAAGATTCCAAAGATTGTTCTTGTCGTACTCTCCTTCTGAAGAAGCTGCTGCAAGCCTTGAAAGCGCTGAATAAATAGAAGAATTTACCTACTGTTCAGAAGACCACCAGCGCCATCGTCCGATACTTTCTGGACCATGAAGGAAATGTAAAGAACACAGTAGTGTATTGCCTGTTTAAGTATACCTATTATGTGTTTAGCAATATCTTTCATGGGTGTTGTTAAGTAATGCAAATTAATCTTTGAGATAAAACAAATGATTTAGACGCAAAACAAAGCCGAAAACATCGCCTACGCAAAATCAAAAATATAAATCGCCACACAACCGTCGTTTTCTCAAGATTATTTTCGATAGCCCAAGATTGAATTACATCACCTGAAGCAAAACCTAAAGATGTCCACCTTGAAACAGTCTCAATCTTCACTGATATCATCCTCGGAAATCAAAATGCTTCCGACATGGGCAAAGTATCATCAATTTGGAACTATGATCACATTCCACGTGAAGGTCTTACCTCACCGTAGTCAGCATATCATCTCGCTCCCATTCAAAACAAAACACTGCGTAGTAATGAGCATATAGCGTGGAGGAAAAACCACCGATACATATTGTATCGACCTACTTGGGAAGCAAATCCATTAGATCATAAATCCAAATGTTTGGAGACAACGACGGCAGTCGTGAAAATCGATTTAACCCCAACCGCCCCAAACCCGCTACACATACAGCGTCAGGTTCGGGAGGACAGACACGACACCACGTGGAATGCCACACCATCATCGCCATCGCCAGGTTCCATGTCCTCGGACAATTAGAAGGGCTTAGAAACGATCCGTGGGTAGTATCTCGTCTGTTGTCCTCGCTGTTGACGCATGGGTATGGATCATAAATATCAGTAGAAGGATGCCTACTCGTTTCGATTGTTGCATGCACGCAATTTTCTGTGTGGGTGTGCGGACTGGCCGGCGGTGGCGGTTTAAATGAATTATCGCACTTGGCATTGGTTGTTCATATGGGTGCCGTGATTTATGATTACTAGGTAATATTTTCACTCGGTGCTATGTAGTGTCCGGGTGGATTCCGAATACGATTTCCTGATATTGGTCGGGTTTCCGGCGCTCTGTTGTGTGGATAGCATTTTTGCGGTCAATAATTAGTGCAACCGGGTCCTGGAGCTTTGCATGCATATGTCCTGACGTTGCAACGTGTACATTTTACTTTGTTGCATAAATCGTTTGAAAATAGATCCCTCCCCATGGACATGGAGGTTGACGGTACTGAAGCAAAGGGTTATGTTTAATCTCTTTATAATTGCAACTATGATGATTTCCCATAGTGACACATATCACCTTCATAATGCTTCGGTATGCCTCAAACGATTAATTCTTGGTTGTTAATAGAACTTCCATGATGAAATCGGCTGCTTCATGCAGACTGAGCAATTCTGATTATAGTATCAGATTTGTTCTGTATGCAAAGGAACTGGGAGGGCTTATTAGAAACTTCACAACAATAAATTAGTGATCTTCCAGTAAACATTTTACATAACATTTTATTTAAATTATATTTTATTTTTGATTAGTAATTAGAAGATCGTGGGTTTATTCCCTTAAGCGAATCCTGACCCATCTCCTGCCCAACTATCCATCTCCGTAGCATCTATGGGGGCGTCAGTGAGTCGCTGCCCTTCCGTTAAGTAGATGTACATCAACAATATCCTTCCTTTCCCTGTAACGGAGAAGATGGGCGTGGCCGGCAATGGTAATTGTCAAGCTTTTCCTATTCTGACATGAGGGGGTTAGAAGGAAAGGGGTGTAAGTGACTTTGATCGATTCTCTTCATCGACTTTCTCTTTCGTTAATAATTCAGCTGCAATCACATTCGTTCATTCGTGTGCCATTCTGGATGCTAGATGAGAACCTCCTTTATAAAAACTATGTGGCAGAAATAACAAAAGAGAAAGTCGATGAAGTGAATCGATCAAAGTCACTTACACCCCTTTCCTTTTAACCCCCTCAATTCTGATTGGAGAGCTATTCATTCCCAAAATAGTTTTCCTTAAGTAATTAGAATGAGAACGTTAAAGTAGATACATGACAGTTGCCAGTATGCAATCTACGAATTACTCCGTTACAAACGCAACGCAGCGCAATATTTTCGATTTTCCTAGGGTTTCCTCAAAGGTGGATTCGTGTTTTAACTAGTGCTATCCGCTGTTTACTTCATTATCTCTTTTCATTGCCACGACTACTACGAGGTAAACTAGTTTCATCACGCAATCTAAAACCTGTATTTAATTAGGACAAAAATGTAAATACTTCCTGAAAAAGCACCTTTCTTCCTGCAAAATTGATCATTATTTTCCGTAATTTTCCATCCACCAGGTACGGTTCCAGCAGCAGCCAAGCATCGCAGAGCAGTGGTGACATCTGCCGGATCTGTCACTGTGAATCGGACACGCACAATCCACTACTGACGCCCTGCTACTGCTCCGGAAGCCTCAAGTTCGTCCATCAGACCTGCCTGCAGCAATGGCTCACTGCGTCGGAAACAAGTGCCTGCGAGCTGTGCAAGTTTCCGTTCATCATGCACACCAAGATCAAACCCTTCAACGAGGTATTTATCATTACATAAAGCGTCAGGAACTAACTCAGCTAAGTGTCCCCCTAACCCAACTCATCCATCACAACACAACATCCAATTAAAACTGGTCAGTATTGAAAATCGCCTGTCCTACTTGTCATCACCGAAGGCAGCTTTAGAATCGTCCAAAGGAATAATAGGATTACCATAAATATAAGTCCTCCTGGACACAAATCCAAAGGACCCACGAATGACATTATAATTACTACCCACACCAAGCTTCCCATCCCTTAATCCACGTATGTATACAACTTTTGATGATGGCGATTGATACACAAACCCGACCGACTAAGCGACCGTCGATTTGCTTTCTATTGAATCCCTTCCGTGGAAAGAGGGATTGCATCACACGCTCACTTAATTACTTCCAACACAGCCGTTTGCATTTCCGTACCAAACCAAGTTCTGTTTGTTTTCTCTCGTCCGCAGTGGCGCAGCCTGGAGATGTCCGGTGTGGAACGGCGGCGGCTGTTCTGTGCGGTACTGTTTCACTGCGCCGCGGCCCTCTGTGTGATATGGTCCCTCTGTGTGCTGATCGAACGGGCTGCCGAGGAAGTTCGCCGTGGCCTGATCGGGTGGCCCTTCTGGACGAAGCTGGTCGTGGTGACGGTGGGCCTGACCGGCGGGGTCGTATTCATGTACATCCAATGTAAACAGTATTTGAATTTGTGCAATCGCTGGCGCGCTAGGAACCGGTAAGATTATTGTTTGTTTACGTTCTTGTTTGTGGGATTTTAAGGTTACAATCTGTTGGGCTGGAATGAGAAGGAACTGTTTTCATCAAAGTCATCAAAGGAAATTTAAAAAATTTCGAGGTCCGTTGACGTTTGGTAAACGTTTTTGTTTTACCATCCCAGACTTCAGAAAACAGACAGACTTTTAAAAAAAATAGTCGAAGAATCTGTGCCTAAGAACGGAATTCGGAAATTTGACGTATGACCGGGATTCGTCGGTGTATTTGTTTTTGGGTTTGAACATAAAACATCGTAGCGTTTTGATCCACCGCTATACTGAAAATCCAATACCAGAAAAATTAGTATTCTTTAGTGCTGATTGCAGATACATTTTACGCGTACTCTAGTTTTGTGTGTACTTCCCTTAATTACAATTTTGGGTGCTTTTTAAAGGGGGCGCATGGATTTGAGGTGGCATACATATGCAAAACCAGCGTGTAACAAGCTCTAAATTTACCATAACAGCACTGGGGGATAAAAAGCCGAAATCTGCCGATTTGAAATACTTTCACCAACTATTAAAAAAAATAATATAATAACCTAGCCCTTGAGTGCTACCCCCGTATAACCATCAACAATAATAATAAAAGCTTAATTTGAGAAATACAATCATTTGCAAAATTTTAAAATCTGCATTATCAAGCCTTTTTTTCAAGATGGCCACAAAAGGCCCAGTTTCAGAGGCCTATTTACGAAGAGCAAATAATAAGAATTCATTCCACTGCGTCCTAGCAAGAAGTACGGTGAACTTATATCGCACTCCATTATTTTGTTTTTCTCCCTTTTACATCAAAATTATCAAAATAAAATGACTTATAACAAAATAAATATAAAAAACGGATGTCATATTTTGCGATAACGAACAAAATGATGTATTATAATTATATCAGCTTTAAAAAATACTTCCTGTAGTTTTGATTCTGAAAATAATTTTCCCACAAATAACTTTAAAAATATATTCAATTTCGGTTTTTTTGGTAAATATTAACAACCGAGAAAACACCGTGAATTTCAAAATGAAAATTCACCGGCCACCATGAAGTTGTTCAGTATAGTTGTTCGGATTTCTTCCAAACCAACTCTATGAAAAATCAGCCAAAGTTTTTGGACTGATCAAAGCTGAAATATATTCACATTTGATGACTTCTTCTTAACACTTTTCAACCTCAATTAGCTACTTACAAATTTAGTTTTCAATCCGAGTTTCAATGCTCTTGCAGATCAGATTCCGTTCGGTACTAGCAGCCACTAACTAGCCTGCACATGTTTAATTAGAACTTATCAAATTAACATAGATTTAGATTTAGCAAAGTACTTACTTTAGAGATTTTTCCAACAAATTGTGTTTAAGTATTTTTAATAGCAAATTCTACCACTGCTCATAACCTGCATGTACATTCATATTTTAGGTATTTTAGTTAGGAAAATTTAGCAGTTTACTTTTCAAACTTACATCAGTTTTATATTAGGTTGGTAGAAATAAATTAAAATCCTCAAATTGGAAAACAACACAATAAATTAGAATTTTCTTTGCAAATCACTATAAACGTGCCAACTACAAGCTAATTCACTTTGGGTTTTGTTTATGTTTTGGCATTTACATCGATTTCCTTTACTCACCTCTACCAGGTTGCTAAAATCATCTGACTGCCCCCGTGCGTCATTCTGCGACAGGGATTGCGTTGCCTGCCCTGCGGTTTAGGTCGCAACAATAGTTTCCTCAGTTTAAGTCTAAAGTTTGGTAACAATTAAGCAATTTTTTTAAATTTTGTCAAGCAAATGAATAGTTTTGTTCCGTTTACCGTACACATTTTAAAGTTCTCCCGCAAATCCAGTTCGTTACCGAATTCATTCAAGTTTGGCAAAAGTTGCTGGAGATCCCAATACGGAATCAAAAGAGCTGCGGGGATCCGGGGGTTGTTATCCGCCATATATAGATTCTAGAATCCAACCTAATCAACGCTTCACCTTTCTATTTTAGGATTCTCCTGATCCAAAACGCCCCGGAAAAAATCATAGTCCGCGCACCGCAGTCGCCTGGCATGGCGCGGTTTCCACGTGTTCGTACGGCAGCTACGAGCGGTGGAATGGTCCATAATGGTAGTGGTGGGCCAGGAAGCAGTGTCAGCAACAATTCCGGCAACAACGGTGGCGCACTGCACCGCGGCTACGATCAACAGCTGATCGGATCAATCGGCGGGGGTCATGCTTGCGAGTTGCAGATCAACCAGCAGGGTCAGATCATAGCGGCCAATATTGAGAACAGCTCGATCAACTACGATCGGGACTGGACGTTGGATGACATTAGCCAGATGTCTTTCAAGCCATGCCCGCAAGGGAGCGGAAGCTTGACTCCGATGCCTTTTCACGATTCGGCACATAATGTTTGCGAAGGCAGTGGCAGTGGAAGCGGAGTCGTTGTAGCTACCCATAGGTACTCGGCCATCTCCGGATCGTCCAATACGGTACACGAAGAAGAACAGATGCAGCAGAATCCTAGTATTAATGATCAAACTAGTGGTAGTTGTAGTAGTAGCATTAAGACGGCGGATTTAAATTTATTCAAAGTGCCGAACGCAGAACTGAGTAGTGTTAGCAGCAGTACCGGAGTGCCATCGGGAGCGAATACCGGGCGATACCCAAACTCAGCGATATTTCTAGAAAATCGTGATATTTTAAACGATCCTTCCAGCCACGAACAAGTAGCCGGTAACCAGGTGAAGCTGTACACTCGTCGATCGACAGTCCTCGGTGCTACTGGTGGCAACATCCACCCTCACGAAGACCCTCGAACTGACAACCGCAGATACTCCGATACCAAACTCCTGCAGCAGCAAAAACTTACATTCGTTAGCGAACAACCTGTTGAATACAGTCCTACCAAAGATCAGCTGTTACTCAATCCTAAAAGCATAATCTACGATATGTCTAATTTCCTTGGTTCAGTTGTTCCACAGGACCTCGAAGATAGTCCTACAAACTCGCATCACCAACACCATCGAACGCATCATCACCATCATCATCACGTACTTACGACCGCGGACAGTCCCAGTCATCGGCTGCAAATTACTGACATTCAATTCGATAGCAACCGTGACGAAGAGTCGGCTAACCCCCGACCCACGTCGTACGACCCGCTTGAACTCAATATCCAAGAAATGCTCGAACTTGACATCGCCAACATACAACGGTTGAGCGAGAAGAAAGACTCTCTCGGTAACATTTCCCAGCAATCGTGCTCCCTGTACTATCAGGACGATCCATCCTCACCCTGTCTCGGTACACCCACTGCCACGGTGCGGCCGATTTGCACCTCAGCCTCAAATTCACGTCTGCAGCAGCAGCAAGCCAACCAAAATCAACTCCAAATGCCTCAACAAGTGCGACCACTAGCGGGGCACCAACATCAAAATCAACGACAAATCGAAGCCAGCAGCAATCAACAATTCAACAGTAATCGACTGAAACTGTTCAAGTCCCTCCCGAATTTGAGTGCCAGTAGTGAAAACCTACTGCCCCCGCCAAAGCGCTTCGATTAGACCGATTAGCCGGTAGGTGCGGTATGACATGATTATGGTTTGTGTGTCCCCATGTTAATCTAACGATTAGTAGAAGCCATCTTGTGATATATTTTTTCGTTCCCTCCTATTCAGACCGATGGGAAACATCCGGTCAATATGAAACAAATTAAAATCGATTTACTTAACAATAGTTTTGCTTAAAAAAAACAGTTTACTTACGATCGATCTAGTGAGCAGTAGCATATTCAAATTAAACTCTAGATGAGAACAGGAAACGAGGCATTTTAGACAGGTTAAATACCAAGTAATAGAGAAGAAGAAACTGATTACTACTTAAAATATTATTTTTCTCCTGTGAAAGGGCAACAGATAAAGGGCAGATCTAACGGAAATCCTCAATTAATAGAAACAAACAAATAGATACGAACGAGTGTTGTTTATCTGCGAAGCCATGTGTGAATGTGCGAACCACGTGTTAGAATGAGTGTTTAGGTGAGGATTTTGTTTTTGCAGCTTTAAGCGATTAAGTGACTAGACGCGGAGAACGAACGTGATGAAATGTAAAACGATGAACTCATGACGGACGAGCATGACGACGTTGAGGTATTTGTATAGTTAAGGAAGGAAGCAACGTGTGACTTATATTAGAGAAATTGGATAGGGTAAGGTGGGGCCACTTGGGTCATCTGCTTGATTGATTTATTTATTTCGATTTTCAACATCCACAGGCTCAATGCAGCCGCGCAATGCTGGTTTGAAATAGCAAATCATCATGGGGGTTGCATTGAATCGGTTGATTTTGATAAAGAAAATAAATTAATAAGTGCACTAGCTGACCCATCTTGCCCTGCCTTACCCTACTACTTGTAAAATGATTAATGCAACGGTGTTACAATAATGCAGTTTTTATTATTTTCCATTTGGAATATAGAGAGTATCAAGGAACATGTGAATCAGAGGCGAGGAGGTTATTTCATCCGAAAGCACAAGTTCGGGGAAGTTTCCGTATGTTCAGGAAACTTCGTACGAGTAAACGAGTACGAGTACGAGGGTGATCAGTAAACCGGGAAAACTAGGAAAACGCCGTAAATTTTGATGACAAATCTGGAAACAACAAATACTGCGTCCTCTCTTCGGAAGATTCTGGACCTGGAACAAATGTCAAGACTCTTGGGCTGAAGAAGATTTCTAGAACACAGTCACTTTGAAGAACGTTAAGGAGGCTTTAGAATGAATTCTAGGGATAACAAGAAGGTATTTCAGCGAAAAATTCCTAGGGAGTTATGGGAAGAATTTTTAAAAGGTTTTGATTGGAATTATAAGTCAATTGTGTGAGTTGATGTTGATTGTGAACAGCTTTGCAGGTCTATTTCTAATCAATATTCTAAATATGTTTTGGTAAGTAGTAGAGTTCAGAAGAGTTTTTCATGGCAATTGGGAAACAGCTGATAATTCTTCTACCCAGGACTACTACTAGACAGGTTAATCAAAATATTCATGTTTTAATTTCTATTGAACGATACATGCAAAGTTCTGGCTTTTCCTGAAATTCTCTATCTTTTCCCGAAATATTCTTCCAACTTTCCTCAGTTTTCTTTGCATGCACGTAACCTATAGCTCATACCGTAGTAGGCTGTGTATAAAAGAAAATGATTTACTTAGTTTGACAGTTGCACCATGATGAAGTGACATCGTATTCGTGATTTGTCCCACGCGAAAATGTCGCAAAAAGACATTTCAATCGCCGTGGGAGTGTCCCGAGACCGATAAAAGAAAGGACAACTATCCGCGAAGGTGGCCACAGGTCGTCCGAGGTCAGCTCGTGTTCCGAGGGTTATCGCTGCTATCAAAAGGAAGATTCGGGTGAAACCAGTGCGTTCAATAAGGAAGATGGCAAAGGAACACGGGATCAGTGACTTTACGGCGCGGAAGATCGTAAAGGAAGTTTGCGGAGCGAAGTCGAGGGCACGAAAAACAAAACTCACATGATTACCAACCGCATCCGGGAGCTACGAGTCGAACGATGCAAGAAAATCTTGAACTTCCTTAAGGGGGTATTCCCGATCTTTTTTTTCAAAAAATCAAATTTTTTTCACGTTTTTTTTTTGTACTTCAGACTATATACTTTCATCCCCCCAAGCCGTTTTCCGATCAGCGAATTCGGTGTCCAGGCATAGCTGACTAATGGTAAGAACCCCCAAATGGTTTTAACTAAAGTCAAAACTTTAAACGCGTTTTTCTCGAAACCACAAGAGATATTGACTTGAATCTTTGCGCATTTTGTTCCTTATTAAATTCTTTGGAGCTTCTCCCACTTTCAGCCAAAAATATTAACATTTAACATTGTTTGAAGCACCTTAAAGCTGCAAAAAAGCGGGCTAAAAATCGCCTGTTTTTTCATATGGCCGCCATTTTGTTAATTTGCAAGATTTTTTGCTGCCAACGGGAGAAGCTCCAGAGAATCTTATGCAGATTATTAATTTCATCACGAAATCTGTTTCAGATGAAGCCGTTCCAGAGAAAAGTCTTTGCCCGTCCAGGCGTTTGCGGCGAACAGGGGTCTGTTTGCCGCCATTTTGTGACGTCAATAATGTCTTTTTTTATGTCGAAAAAAATTTATTTGTAAACTTTAATGTTCAATAAACAAGAATCCCAAAGAGTTAGGCGCATTACTATTCATTTTCCTTGAAAAAAAAATTAATTGAAAAACAGGCCGAAAAAAGGCAAAAGATTATCAATCGTCAATCGTCAATCAGTGTGGACGCGTTTTTCAGTCGCTCCTAGCCGCGTGCGCTTTAATTTCGTTTTCATTTTATTTTATTTTTTTTTTGCGTGCGGGTGCCGTTTTGCGTGTGTGTTTTTTTTTTTTTAACTTTTGTTGTTGTACGCCGTTAAAATGAGCTGTGAAATTTGTGCTGTGGATTCTTCCACTGACTCCGGCATGTGGAAATGTGCTGGATGCCCGCGTCAATTCCACGCAGCCTGCCTAGGATTATCTGTACCTGTGCCTGTTCAGAGGAGCTCAATTCGCAAGAGAGACAAGACAATCAACATTTTGTCTTATGTATTACCATGCTGTAGCTCATGCCAAACTATGATAACGGCTAGTTATGAGTTCAACGCCCTTGTGGAGCAACAAGCGCGGCTGGTCGACCAAGTCAACAAAAACACGGAGGTGACTCATCGCTCCACGGTTCACCCAAATAATGCTGACATTGTCCATGAAGCGATCGACCGACTCGATGCTTTACTCGTCGATATAAAAAAACAGCTGACGGCAACTGGAAGCAGTGGTTCTACTGACAACGTTAGTGCTATTAAAAACCACATTACCTCGCTTTTTGACATAGCGATGAAAGCTTCACAAGAAAATTTTGCAAATTCAATGCCAACAATGACAGCAGGAATTTCCGAAGACCTTAACTTTCTCAAGGACGAGCTGAAAAATATCAGCAATATAACTTCTGACCTGTGCTCTACTGTTGCAATGCAACAAAACCCTATACTAGGGTTAGGTATTGTATTAGATGAGCTGAAATCGTTATCGGCTGGTATTGGCAACATCGAAACCCAAATTAACTGTGTCACACTTAATATGCCAGACTCCCCATACGAAGTGATATCACCATCACCTGACCCTCTCCCCAGTTTGCTGGAAGAGTTAAACAATGAGCAAAACGTTGATGACTCAGGGTGGCGTCTTTTGGGCATGAGGAGGGTCTGGAAGGCAGACTGGTCAGATTACGACGCGCGCAAATCACGACGGCTAAATCAACAAAAACATGCTGAAAAAGCTAGAAGGAAAAGGAAACAAAATACAGCACGAAATTATTCTAACGTAAGGAACAACATACACAGCAACAGTTTAAAGCATCGTAATCATCGAAACATGAATTCCGACAACGGTTACAGTACCAATCACAGCAATATTTTCGGTCACCGGAGCATCATTCGACATAACGAACAGGATAACATTAATAGCAATAACAAAAACAACAGTTCCTACCAGTCCCACATCAGAAATCATGGCAACCCCCGTTTTCTTCCACCTGATCGAGAGCTGCTTTCAGCAGCAAAAAATGTCTTCAACAAACCACCGGTTAATTATCAACCTACGATGCAGTTTGAAAAAAGGGAAACTATAAACCCGTACCCAGTAAGCGGTCTTCAGAATTCACATGGTATGGCTCCGGGGAATTCTTCCTCTACATCGTGTCAGCCGTGCACATGTAGACATGCGTGTTTTCGGCACCACTGACGCACTCACCTGAGGTAGAATATGACAACATAGCTGAGCCCGAGGATCATGGCATCTCACATAACTTGAGGGATTTTGGACAGGATGCAGCCACTTCACCCCCTGACCAGCACGACGTAAGTGACCATGTCGCTAGTTTATCAAGTAGCTCTTTTTTAAGTGAAACTACATAGTCTATTGCCAAAATTTTAACCGTATGCGTAGTGCGTATAAAATAAATGAAATTCAAAATAAAATAAGCGGATGCACATATGATATAATAATTGGAACAGAAACTAGTTGGTCTGATAGCATTAATAGCGAAGAGGTCTTTGGTAGTAAATATTGTGTTTTTCGATGTGACCGCGATTTATCATTATCAGGTAAAAAATCAGGTGGTGGTGTACTTATTGCTGTGAATGCTACATTTCAAGCTGAACAAATTGTTAGTGAAAGCCAAAAAGAATTTGAAGATGTGTGGGTTAAAATTTTAATAAACGGCGAAGAACATCTTTTCGCTTCTGTCTACTTTCCTCCACACTTTTCCAAAAAACCAGCTTACGAAAAGTTTTTCACTGCTGCAGAACTGAAAATTCAAAGAGAAGATCCAAGAACCAAAATTCATATTTATGGAGATTTTAACCAGAATACTGTTAATTTTATACAGGATAGTGATAATGATTCTCTGTTGTTACCAATTGTAGGAGAAAACGATACTTTGCAATTCATCTTTGATAAAAGCAGCCACTTGGGACTTCATCAAATTAACCATGTTCGTAACCAGCTCAATTCCTATTTGGATCTTATGTTTACTAATTGTACAGAAGATTTTTGTATTGTAGAAGCAGCAGTTCCATTATGGAAGAATGAAAAATTTCATACGGCTATTGAATACTCAGTGTTCACAGACTCGCATCGGTCACGCCCAAGCGTTGTTGATTTTGAATTAGTTTATGATTTTAAAAATGCAAATGTTCCTGAATTTAACAACAGACTGAATAACATAAGTTGGCAAAACCTTTTAAAAGATGAAAACAACATGGACAAGGCTGTTGACATATTTTATACTAACTTATACAATATTATTGAAGAATTCGTTCCTAAAAGACAAAAGAGAATAGTGAACAGCACCAAATATCCTGTGTGGTATACACAAGAAATCAGAAATATTAAAAACAGGAAGCAAAAAGCACACAAGGCGTATAAAAAGTTTAAAACGTCACAAAATTTAGAAAAATACGTTGAAATTTGCGGAGCACTTGAGGCAGAAATATCGTCAGCATATGAGAATTACAATTCAAGAGTAGAGAAAAATATAAAATCAGATCCCAAAACGTTCTTTAACTTCGCGAACGAAAAAATGAAGTCATGTACATTCCCATCACGCATGCAGTTTGAAGAGTGTGATAGCACTGATAGTGAGGATATTTGTAACCTATTTGCTCGTTTTTTCCAAAACACATATAAGAAATCCAGTAATGCTCTCGATTTGAACTATTTTTCTTACCTACATGAAGGGGAAAATGACGTATCAGTTAAAAATATCACTGTTAAAGAAATTTTTATGACTTTTGAAAGTCTCGATGCTGGCAAAGGACCTGGTCCTGATGAAATACCTCCATTTTTATTGAAAAAAATAACAACAAGTTTTGTTAAACCATTGTTTTGGCTTTACAATTTATCTCTCAAAACAGGTGATTTTCCAAAAATTTGGAA